GTATTCACATTACCACCTGCACCTCGTGTGCAGATTCAGGTATTTCAGAACTCGGTAGCGTGTGTTGATTGCTTAGAGGCGAAGTCATCGGAGTTACCAAGGTGGATGCACGACGTTCACAACACTGTTTTCCTTCCTCTCATTGATTGTGTGAGCGCGTGTTTCTGGATCTATATGTTCTGTGGTATCCCTATTAAGGGAAGTAAGGACTGGATAGCTGCGTGATGAGGGTGAAGTGACTTCGAGATGTGTTCATATAAATCGAATGAGGCGAGAATGGTCTGCTTTGGGGCAGCAAGAAATATTAGGTACTTGATTTTCATCTCAATTTGAGGTATAGCCCTGAGTTATGGGAGTGTGAAGAATCTTTTTATGTTTCCTAGCTAGGAGTGAGGTAAATCTCATGTTGCGGTATGAGTTTAGACTCAGGGAGATCAAGCGACTGCGTAATGTCTATGACGGTGGAAGGTATACAGAAATGTTAGTTTGAGACAAGGTAGGTGGGTTACCTCCTGCGGAGTGTTCTGAAGTTGTGTGATCCTTATGTTGTCTGTTAGAAGATCTCATTTACAAGTGAATTATATGTGTTGAAATTTGAATTTTGGTCACTTAAGAGAGTGGGCTTGACTGTTACGAGGGTGAACACGAGATTTGCAGAAGGTTTAAAGTACTAGATGGTCTGTGTTTCACGAGCCATGAAGTATGGAGTATAATCTCACTTTGGTACTATGGCAGCAATAGAGTATATGCGTTATAAGTTATCGTGTGTGTTTTGATCTATGACTTCGAGCCAAGTAGGGGAGTCTGCTATTGATTAGGTGATTGCACGGTTAGGCGCTATGTTCAATTTTGAGGCGTGCGGGTGAGTCGGTTATGGCTTACAGAGATTAAGATCGAGGATGGCTCGAGTAAAGGAAACTTTTGACAAAGGTTATGTCATGCTTCATAGGTGTATGAGAATCATGGAATGTCTTGAGTTGTTGTTGGTAATGGATGCTAGGTGCATAGAGCAAGAAGTTGCTTGGTTGTTCTAGGATGAGGTTACACTCTGCGGTGTCAGAGTGCTATTGAGGCACGGGTGGTCTGTTTGTTGGATCAGGCTAATTGCAATTTGAATAGAATGAATGACTCTCGAGAATGATTCTAATGTGTTCAAGATTTTACATGTAACAATTGGGTATTTTCAAGTTGTATATGTGGCTAGAAACTGAGTTTTCATTGGAAGATGTCAAGACTTGTGGTATTTTCTATATTAATTATGGGATTCTATATATCAGTATCAGGAAGGTGAAGGTAACGAATTTAGTTTCGCAGAAAGTCTCTTCAGAGTAAAGTATTTTGAATGTGGCGCTATTGGGAATACTTAAGAGAGTAATCAATGGCTTATGAGTCTCAGACGGTGTGGTTTTATGCTTGGGTCTCATGTGGTGAGTCTGGATTGAGGAATTGTAGTGTTATAGCAAGAAGGAGTATCAAGTTAAAGGTAAATCAAAAGGAAACTTGGATAGATGGGATAGCTTGGTAGTAGGATGAATCGGTATGGTAAGGATATGATTAGTTCTTTGAATGCTTATGAGGTAATGAGTTTCTATGGGTATTTCGCGGCAATGCTCTTGGGTTTTAGTGGCTTGCGTAGCTCGGTTGAGTTAGAAGGACTCAGTCCTGACGATTTAGATTTGTGCAAATGAAATTCGGAGAGCTCTAGATGGTTTCTACCATAGTTAGAGAGGTATATTTTTCCTATTGGCATGAGGAGCATGACATGTATAGTGATTTTCTTCTAGATGGGATCAACGGGAAGTTCTTGGATAGTGGAGTACATAGTTTCTTGTGGCTAAGAAAGGATATGAAGCTCTCGTGGTTATCTTAGGGTGGTACGGTTTATGCAGTATGTTGTGTAGGATTTAGATTTGCATGTGTAAGGACACGATTCACATTTGAAAAGGAATGTCACAAATTCTTAGATAGCATAGGCAGCTTCAGGTGACTAGATAAATGAGATCACTGATTGGTGTGGTTTGATGAGGGTATAACATTTTAGAAAGGGCAATGTGTTTGAGTTATAGATGCTTTATTGGTATTGCGACACTATCTTGTATGTTCGACGAATGATATTTGAGTTTGCTTGGTGGCTTAGAAGAATTATAGATGTACCTCTTATGAGATGATTGGTACTAGAGGTGTGTTATATATGCGAGCAGAGGAAATGGGATCAGATATGATAATTCATGTGCTTTATGGAGTTTGAGACTGAAAGGTCTCATAAATAGGTTAACTCGTGGTTGTGGGCGGTAAAGATGTAGGTAAGTTAGTCAGATGATAGTATGTGCTATGAATCAGTCATTGTGAACCTTCGGAGGATTATTTATCTGTTGTGGGTAACTAGAGTTGATATGTGGTTCATTGGTAGGCCTATATGGATGTGTGTTCAGCATCGAGACAGCTTTGTTGACTTCGAGTTGCTATTGGTGAGGGATGTGTTGATTCGGTTATTATTGAGCTATTAGTAATCAGGGGGATCTATGAGTTACTTTTCTGTGTTGCGAGATGTTAGGATTTGTTGGTTATAGGCACATGTGGTACGGTGTTATTAGGGCCTCTCAGTGGAATTCGAGCGGGAAGAGTACTGGGTATTGCTCGGTGGATGGCGTATCGGTTATGTCCTTTCGAGTGGTGTGGTGTTATGTAATTGTTTCGTTGTGGTTATGAGGATCGCTTTGGCTTTAGACATCATATTGCACGCGGTTGTCGATTTTGAGCATAGTGACTTAAGGTATTTTTACGTGGACCAGTGTTTGGATGAGGTTGCGCATTGGAGCGAAGCTATGTGGAGGTATGATCCTGCGGGTTAGATTTGTGTGGTCTGTTTCTATGATATGCGACATGTTCTCAGCATTGTGTGTGGTCTTTAATGAATAATATCACCAGAGTAATTATGTTGGATTAGATGAGATCGTTGGGGTCTTTAATGAATACAAACAGATTCGATTTTAGCATGTTAGAAGGATAATATCGAGGTTCGGCTCAGAAATTTGCTACGGTCTTTGCCAAAGGAGAAGTGACTTATTATATGGTACCTATTGAGTGTAAGTGTGAGCGCTGACCGGTAAGAGTTGAGTCATTAGCGACTGAGAGGCTTGCCCGAGGGGCTATAGATATACACGTACATGAGTGATGCTTTGCCTGAGGGGCCTGTTTATGAGATTACTGTTTTTCACTCCTCCTTAAAGCGAGTTTTTATCGAATGTGTTGATTTAATTACTACTTTCACTCATCTTTAGACCGAGCCTCTATTGAAAATGTTGAACAAATACTTTAAACAACTTTCATTTAAACTGAAGTTTTTAAGTTAGGAAATGGGTAAGAATTTCTGTTTTGCCGAGGGNGTTTAACACTTAAATGATTTGAATGGTATCCTGATTTGGGAACATGTTGTAATCAATGTGGTACTATAACGTGGTTGACGTGTTTTCTTACTGCTCAGTCTTTATTTACTCTTATTACTTACTGGGTTGGAGTACTCACATTACTCCCTTCACCTCGTGTGCAGATTCAGGTATTTCGGAACCTGGTAACGGGTGTTGATTGCTTAGAGGCGGAGTCATCGGAGTTAGCAAGGTGGCTGCACGATGTTCGCAACACTGTTTTCCTTCCTCTTATTTTCATTTATATATTTAGTATATTTTTAGACTCGTGTTGTATTCAGACCCTAGTAGATGCTCATGACTATTGACACCCCGATGTCGGGTTTGTGTAATTATTCCGCACTTTTCTTTTAATTTCTTTCTGAGATATTGGTTTTAAAAAAATAGCTTTTATTGGAAAATTGTTGATTCGGGAGTTGTATCGGCTGATCTAGTTTCACGATAGGCGTCATCACGACCGGGTCGATTTTTGAGTCGTGACAGAGATGGACTAGTGATACTTTTTATCGAAGATTTAACCTAAATAGTTATATACTCAATGTTTAAATTAAAAATAATTGTTGAATCCATGTATATAAGTATATAATTAATGTATATTCTATTTGTACATTAACTTAAAAGATAAACAGTAAAAAGATCTTTTTTATTGGAAGCCAATAGGAGTCATGAGTCAATTTGAGGTGAATCGCAACTTTACTACTCCTGTAAGAATATTTCACAATGCAACCCTTTTTCTTTCTCTTACCTCACTGAACGTAGGTTGCATTAAAAAAGTAAACTAGCCAACTCAAAAATTACATTACTAAAATCATGCACCATAAATGTCTGTGTATACACTATCCTCTACCTCATGGTAGGGATGAGGTCTACATACACACTACTCTTTTCAGAGCTCACAAAGTAAGATTATACTGAATTGTTGTTGTTGTTGTAAAATCATGCACCATAAATGTGAGGCGAATTTAAGATTTTAATTTGATAAATTTAATTTTTACTCACTCCTTTTTAAATTAGATTAGGTAATTTTCTTTTTAGTATGTTCCAAAATAAATGACACATTGCTAAATTTGAAAATAATTCAACTTTAAATTCTTCATTTTAGAAGTTTTTATAACCACACAAATATCATGGCTCCACAAAGCTTTTGCCTCTTAAGCTTTTAAGACCACATTTCAAAAGTCTTATTCTTTTCTCTTAAATTACGTGCCGAGGTAAAAGTACCTCATCTAAATTGAAAATGGAGTGAGTATATTTTAAAATTATAGATTTAACATAACTATTTGTAAAAAAAAAAAAAAAAAACAGTAGCTTTTCACAAATAAATTCTTGTTATATCCGAGAAAATAACTGAGTTCAGCTGAACTAAGCATAATGCGCGTGTCTGGGAAAAAACTTATGTGCACCTAGTTTCCAGATCAAGTTACGTTTAGTTTCTTCTAAAAGAAGCATTGAACACGATTAAATTGAAAAAACATGTCAACTAATCATAATTAAGCAATCAAATTAAGATTATGCAAATAAATACATGTGATGCACGTTCTCGTATCTTTTAAACTTCAAATTTTCCTTCTTCAATCTTTCCATTTTGGCCCTTTCTCTCTTCATCCTCTTCTTCCATATATTCTTTGCCCCCCTTAGATTTTAGATGCTCCTCTATCTTCTATCCAAACAATATCTGAAATCTCGAGATTAACTGGCTTTAATTTCTTCTGCAAACATGATTCGAAGAGCTGCATTTTTTCGCAGATTAATTGACTCTGCTTCTCTACCATCAAAGGTGAGTCATCTCATCTCTTCCTTGCATGAACCACCAGGGGCGAAGCCACCTTTGACCGCCCTTTATCGAAATATTACGAAAAATTACTATAAGTAAAATATTAGATTTTAGATGTATACAACATGTATCGAACACTCTTTATTGAGAATTTTTATTTATTTCTTTCAAGTCTGAACACCATTGAGGAAATTCCTAGCTTTGCCACCGTGAACCACAACAAGTAACCCGTTTTCTTTCATTTTTTGCGAAATGTTCAAAAACGCGATAATCTTTTGTGACTTGTGACTGTAGATTGGAGCAAGGTACTATACAGCTCAAGTTGCAACTTCTTTACAATCTACTGGTCAAAGGTACGTAAATTGCATTTCAAATCAAGGACTTAAATCTCTTCACTTACTCCTTAAAATTTTTACGTACTCCAGTATTTATTTTAATTAATTTGATATTTTTGAAAATTAATGAGACTTCAATTCACTGATTTTGAGTTTGTTGAAATGATGGCAGTGATGAGGAGTCCATTGACATTGATTGGGAGAATCTTGGGTTCCATTTAATGCCAACTGATTATATGTACCTAACAAAAAGCAATGAAAATGGTCATTTCGAACAAGGCCAGCTTAATCCCTATGGAAACATCCACTTGAGCCCCTCTGCTGCTGTCTTAAACTATGGTCAGGTAATTATTCAATTGAGTTTATCAATTATCATCTCTCCTCCATTAAAATTTGTTTCCAAAATATAATGTATATTATAATGGAGTTTAATTTTTATACGTTGACGGTATAAAATAATACAGAATAATGTCACTTAAAGACAATTCCAGGTAACTCTAATGAGTCGTATTCTAGTTGAGAACAATTCAAATTACATTGACACGAAACTGTCAATGTGTGTAACTTAAATCGTATATATTACTCCAAATTTCTAGTAGTGATTCAAAATGCATGCAGGGTCTGTTTGAAGGTACAAAAGCCTATAGAAGAGATGATGGACGATTGTTTCTGTTTCGTCCACATCAAAATGCGATTAGAATGCAGATTGGTGCTGAAAGAATGTGCATGCCTTGTCCTTCCACTAATCAATTTGTAGATGCTGTCAAGCAAACAGCTCTGGCGAACAAGCGTTTTGTAATCATTCCGTGCATCTCTCTGAATATATGACTGTTATGATTTCCTTGGAATTACTATAGATCTAATCAAGTTGTTTATTTGTTGAACAAGAGCAGATTCCTCCTCCAGGTAAAGGGTCTCTTTATATAAGGCCTCTGCTTATAGGAAGTGGACCAATTCTTGGTTTGGCTCCAGCACCAGACTACACCTTCCTTGTCTATGCTTCTCCTGTAGGAAATTATTTCAAGGTCAGTTTATTTCATTTCAAAGTGATAGGATTTTAACCCAATATGCATGAAGACAGTAGGTGCACCCATAGGATAGGCCACATATATACACTGTCTCAATTTCCTCTACATATTTTACAATTTTCATGTAGGAAGGGACAGCGCCATTGAACTTGTACGTTGAGGAAGACCTTCATCGCGCCTCGCGTGGTGGATCTGGAGCTGTCAAAAGCATTACTAACTATGCCCCGGTAGATATATAGTTCCTTCTTCATGAGAATCAAATAATTTTTTTTCTTATATTACAATTTTAATTTATCACTCAGTTTGAAATAATTAACTATGGTTGACTTATACTTTTCACATAGGTTTTAAATATGTATCATTTCAAAAAATTTAAAGAAGTTATGCCTGAATTCATACTGAAGGTTAGGCACGTCAACTCTCATATTCCGAACGACTTCACATAAAGTGGCACGGGAGAATAACTTGAGATATTGTAATGCAATAATAAATTAAGAACAAATTTTCTTTAGACCATATATTCTTAAACATTTTCAGTTTTGGGCCATATATGCAGGTTTTGAGAGCTATAAAGAGTGCAAAAGAGAAAGGATTCTCAGATGTATTGTACCTTGACTCTTTAAATAAGAGATACATTGAAGAGGTCTCTTCTTGTAACATTTTCCTTGTGAAGGTATTCCTAATTACATCTATCACATGATCAATTAATATTCTGATATTTTATAAACTAAAATTGATATAGAATTAATTAAACAACAATATTCTTAGGGAAAAATCCTTTCAACTCCAGCAGCAAGTGGAACTATTCTTGAAGGAGTGACAAGAAAAAGCATCATGGTCATTGCACGTGATCTTGGTTACCAGGTTTTGTTTTAAATCTTGACTGTTTAAACAACTTGATATATAGTATTCAAAAATGATTTTCTAAGGAAATTAATTATAAGTCCTAGCCAACTTGGTCCAGGTGGAAGAACGTTTGATTGATGTAGATGAATTGACTAATGCTGATGAAGTATTCTGTACGGGAACTGCAGTTGGTGTTGCTTCCGTTGGTAGCATTACTTACAAAGGCAAAAGGTACGAAACTTCATTTATAAAAGAATTTAATTTTTATAGGCCCACAGTAACATTAAATATATACTCATAACTAAGGGTACGTAGAACGAGATGGTTCGGATTTTTAAATTACCAAACCAAATCAATTGTAACGGGTTATTAAATTTAAAGACTAAATCAATCAATAAAAGTCGGGTTTTTTAATCTCGGAATTTTCGGGTTTTTGAGTTCTTTTTTTTCATAAAGTCTTCATAACACAAAATATAGAATTTGTACTTCAAATATTTCTTTAATCCAAGTAAAAAAACAATTATATAATGTATTTTTCTAGAAAATAATATAAAGTATGAGATGAGTCATGATATTGTATTAAAATATTTAATAATAAAGATACTAAAATCGCATAAACAATATTATAACAAGCCATAATAAAAATGAACATAATCTAAAATTACTAAGTTGCTAAAATAAGTACGACTAATAAATACTATTATTATTTACATGACTAAACACTAAAAAAAAAGTTATGCATTTTATTTAAATTATGGAAAAACTTAAAAAATAGATATTCAACACTATGGTCATTTCTAGTACACTTTGAATTGAATGACTTTTGTTAGCCGTAATATTGATTTAATTTTGGTTTGAACTTTATTTGAGTTACTAATATTTATGGAGTATAAAACTTATTAGAGCATTTAAAAATTATAAGTCCAAACTTAAAATAATACATTAAAAGATAAAACTATAAAAAAGTTTAAGAAATATTTACAAATTACACTACAATAAATACTTTTTTTATATTTAATATATTTAAAACTCCTATACATGTAATGTCGAGTTGATTTGGTTTCGATTTAACTTTTTTTAGTTAAAATCAAACCAAACCAAACCAATTATGGTCGGAGTTTTTTTTCCAACACCGAACCATGCATAGTCGGATTTTTTTTTCTAAGTTTGACTCGAATTATCGGTTTGATACGATTTGTCGGTTTTCTTTGTATACCCATGTTTCTAACCATCTATAGAAACTATAAAGATACCATCTCTTTAATTTCCATGTTCTGAAAGCATTAGGAGTAATTAGAGTTGTCAAAACGAACCAACTCAGTCCAGTCCAAGCCTCGTGGGCTTTTAAATTTGCTAGGCTTGGACAGACCGGCCAGCCATATGAATGGGCCTTAAAATGGTTAGCCCAACCCAGCCCTAAGAAGGCCGCGAGCTAGGGCGGACCGGCCCTTCAATTTTTTTAGAATTTTTTTTCTATAAATCCATAAATATTTTCTGTGACATAGTCGATTAATCTTGTAAACAACTTCTGTTCGCTTAGAGCGTACAAAAAACTTGATATTTGACAAGGATCTCGTAATTGAAATGCAAATTCTCTGTCTCTATCTCTTCTTTTTTAAAGTTAAATAAATATTTTCTTAATACTTTTCTTTCATTTTCCTCCGATTCAGGGATTGCTTCAATAAGTTTATATGTTGAGGTTTTTTTAATTTAGGATTAACGTCATTTGCTGATCATCATTATAATCCATAAAAAATTTAAAATTCCTGAAATTTGTAAGTGGTCAATTTTTTTTTCTGTGTGTATTTAAATTGATCTTTTTCTATATTAAAGGGCAATTTAAATATTAATAATATATTAAAGTAATCCAAACTGATCATTGGCCACTTAATAAAGTAATATTTTCTTTTGAAAAAAGATTATTATTGATCACCTGACAGCTTGTTTGAATGGTTATTACCTATTGTATTGTATCGTATTGTTACTTTAAATACAATGTTTGTTTTGATTGTTATTTAAATTTTATCGTAACGTATCGTTAAATCCGTCGTTACGTAACGATAAAAAGTGTCATTTATGTAACGACCGATTTAGTGTGGTTGCGTCGTTACCTTATTTTTTTTCTCATCTCGCTCTTCATTATTAATAAATAAATTTTTAAAATCATTTTCCCTATCTTTTTATATAACTAGTCTTTGTGTACGCGCTTTGCGCGTGTACCTATCTCAATAATTAAAATTTTGTTTTTAATTTATCTTTAAATTATAAAATAACAATATAAATTTCTGAAAATGATGAATGTTGATCATGCATAATTATCTCTTTAAAAAAAAAAAAGAAACTGCCCAACATAAATACTCAATCATCAGTCAATAATTCGACTGAAAATTTATTTCTAATGACGGAAATTAGAATTAGAAGTGTGTATTTGATTTTGAAGAGTCACTACTCAAGTGAGATTAATATTTAAACATATTACTCATACCAAATTTTAAATACTAAGTTGTAGTTATATTCTTATTCATAAGATTTTTTTTTTCAAATGACAAAAAATCAATTAGGTAAAAAAAATCCATGTATGACTGGTCTAGAAGAAGAAGAAAAAAAGCAATAGAAATACATCGTAAATCTCAAAGAATTAACAATCACTATATACTATAAATAAATTCTAAATTAAATGCAAGCCATAATTGTAGTAAAAACCCCCACTTATATTCATCCAAATTTAACCTTATTTAGAAAAATTAAAATATCTTATAAATTATCTTACTGGAATAATTGATAATTATTTTATATAAATCAAAGCATATAAAATTTTATAAAAAGATTTTGACCACCTCCATTATTATCCAAAACCCTATACTTCCTCGTTATTTCATATTTTTTATTATCTCATTTGTTCATTTTGTTTATAATTTATATATAGTTTAAATGTAATATTTATATAAGGTAAAATTTAATTATTTAAAATTCTAAATATAAGAACTTTCAATCCAGTTCAATTAAGGAAAAATTTAATATGCAAAATTTTACTTGATTTTCAACTCCTAAATATTATGTAATTAACTAACTAACTGTTCTAAAATATTAGAAATTATATGTATGTTGCGCGTGTACCCGTACCATAACAATGAGTAATATTTTTCGCAAATGACGTAAATATTATTTAGAAATATATCTTCCTTATAACATAAAAATTAAAGGAAAGTGTAAGTTTTAAAAAAATGACAATATTAATTTTGTTTAGCTAACTCTATAACTAAAAAAATATTACTCCACATAAATCCTCATATGCCTCATTGTAATTTCGATCCATGAGTTTTGTATTTGATTGAGAAACCCAAACAGAGTAAGAACAATGTAAAATACCTGTAGTATTAATATTTTTCACTTTCAGTTCCTCTATAACCTTTATACTTCTTTTTAGGAAATAAACTAAAAAGGTAATTAATTGCATATAATAAGAATACAGTTAAAATAATGGAATAATAAAGAGAGGATCTTTGCTATTAGAAAGTATTATGAATATGTTTAGTCTATTATAATAGTATTATTATTTTGTATGTATAATTAGTAAGTAAATTTAACATGTAAATAAAGAAGGTAAAAAAAAAAAAGATTCTAAGTTTTGTTTGACAAGCAGCAAAGTTGCCGAAACCTTACTCATACCAAAAGTGGTTAAGACTTTCCTTTTAATATATTTTTTTTACTCTACGTATAGGAGAAATTTAGAATTTAAAATAATTTGATTCCTTCTTGAAAATATATGTATATTCTTTTCATTAACTTATGTTTTAGGAATTGAAAACAGTTTATTTCCTTCTCTAAAACATACTTTTCTCATTTATTTATGGTAGGAATTTTAGGAATCAATGTAATTTTTTACTTTTCTAAATAAAAGTCCTAAATATTAGGAAAATAATTAAAATAAGCATTCCAAAATATTAGGAAAGTAAATTAAATAATTAATCATATATATATATAAAGATAATTAAATCACTATTTTGTCCCGTATAAATTCTATTTTAAAGGGGTGAAAAAGGCGAACGACATTTCGCTAAGGGCCTTCGTGCTTTTAATATAATATAGATAATTCTACCTTGTATCATAATTTTCTTTATAATATTGCAAGTTTATTCTTCATATTGCTGGTGCATGATATCATGAAACGATGGCAAATAATACAGTCTATCCAAATATTGTATTAATCAAACGATACAGTACAATGTAATATAATACGATACATTACATTATGAAACGATATGTAACAACCATCCAAACAAGATGTAAAGCTTTATGAGTTCGTTATTAATTAAGCAAAAGAAAAACTAATTTTGTCATATTACATGCATGTCAAAAATCTAAATTCTAGTTGATATGGAAGGGTAAATGAGCAATGTAGGGTTGGAGAACGAGAACTATAGTTAATAGTTTTTTAATTTTTACGTTTTTAAATATTAAATATTTAATATTTAATTAGTTTTTGGCCTACGAGCTGGCTCAGGCCCAGCCTCGGTCAGGCCTCAAGGGCCAGCGGGCTGACTTGAGCCGGGCTTATAAGGCTCAATTTTAAATAGGCTCAAAAAATCCTAGCCCAATCCAACCCAAGTAGCGGGCTAGTTGGGCTGGTTTCACGGGCCAAATCCCTTTTGACGACTCTAGGATTAATCAATGCAAAGATAACGATGTCCCATGCATGTTAAGATTTTTTTTTTTTGTGATAAAGGCGCTTGGGGGCACAGATTATTATTAAGCATTAAACGTAAGGAGAGTTATTGCAGTACCAGACTGATCTTATCGAAACAGTCCCTAATTTATCTTTGACGAAGTACTTGTTTGCTACTTTTCCTTTTCTATAGTTTAATTTATTTTTATTTGAATTTTTTTTTCTTGCACAGGATTGAGTACAAAGAAAGATCAGAGCAAACAAGTAAGCAACTGTACTCAAGAGTAATCGAGATTCAAAGAGGTGTTATCGAGGACAAGAGGGACTGGATTGTCGAGATCGAATAAGCCTATTTGGCATTAACCTTTTTGCTAGAAAAAATACAACTTACCGCGTTAAATATGTAATTGATACAATTAGAGTTTAATTTCTATACATTAATAATGTGCAATAAATTTAAGCAACAACAAGTAAACGTTCAAAATAAGTGGAGTCAGTAATAAATTTCAACATATTAAATTATACTGATTGTATAAAAAAAAATTATGATAGTATAGAAATCAAATTCTTACTAAGTATTTAACTTTCGATTAGGTCATTGACAAGGTAATGGCAATATAAATTTCAAAATACACATTAATTGATAATCTAAAGAAAGATGATAAACAATATACTACTATTAAGTATTACTCCATAATTTACCATGATATCTATATTAATTGATGCATATTTTATTGGATTTGGAAAAATGATTTGAAATGAGTAATAAATACAATGGGTATAACAGGAAATATTTTTTTATCTTCTTTTGATATGCGTAAAGTAATAAATAAAAATAAAAATTATTTTTAATATATATGTCAAACAAAAGTGAACGAAAAGAGTACGTCACCTTTGCTATTCGCGTCAAAGCTTTTACTTCGCAATCAAGCTCTAGCACATGTTCTTTGCAAAGTTCGTCCAACAGGAATTTGCAAATTAGTCCCTAAAAAAGATGTTTTCTCTCTTTCCATTTTGGACATTCTAATTTTTCTTTCTTTTTTTTTACCATCCAATGTTTAGGATTTATTTGTTCAATTTGTAAACATGTAATTTTTACTCTTCCCAAAAATTTATCCCTTTTTAATGCTTAGATATTTCTTTTAGTTCTAATATTGTTACTTTGCATATTTTTGATATTTTTGCTTTATTTTATCTTAAATGAAAAATTACAAAAATATTTTATTTGTTTTAGGTAATTGAAATTTTGCATAGTTACTTTTAATTTATCTTACTTTAAATAATATCGAAAAGTCACAAAAATAGGGATGATTAGTTGTAGTGTTTGAATTTAATTAGCTAAAATATCTTTGCAATTTTTATCAAACATTTGAAAAAGAAAAAGAAGAAAAAAAAAGAGACAAAAATCTTTATCCCTTGTGACAAACTTTTCACGTGACCACTCACTTGGGACCACTTATTTTTCAACCTCATCAATTCATTTTACCTTGCACATTCACTGTAGCTTTGTCCACAAATTAATCAATGTGCACGTGTTTTTCCTTCATTATTATCATAGCAACGTCACATGCCACATTTTGCAGCACTTATTTTTCTAATTACTAATTTCACTCACACTTTTCAGCTCTATCCAAATAGCCAATTCACTCACTCTCGAGGGACCCACGCGTTTTTTGTTGGATTTCTTGGAACTTTCTCTCCAAGCAAAGAGGAGGCAGGTCACAATTGGATTAGATAGAGGAAAGGGAAACTGAGAGGGGGGACTTTGATAAGGCACGAAACAGAATACATTTGGGGAATCTAAAACAATAGAGGGAGGAACGGATAGAAAACAGAGCAGTGAAAATCCCTATCTCCGCCGCCTTCTTCCTCAAACACCCAATACCCCAATTAGCGTTGCACCACCATCGTAACACCTGTCAAACCTCTTTTTTCCCCGGGGATAGGGAGTTTATTCAATCAAAATAACATTATTCGAAATGAAATTATTTATTTAATTTTAGAGTTGTCACTTGGAAATAATTTATAGTATTTCAAGTCACCAGTCTATTTTAAATTCCAAATAGAGAAAATTTACTCCGTTTTAAAGTCTGCGAACACAGAAGACCGGGTAAGGAATTCTATTAACCCGAGAAAAGGTGTGAGGCTCTCTTGAGTTCCGTGATTTTAGCACGGTCGCTCAACTTTTAATAATTGGCCTAATTATCTGATTTATTATATGTTTAAAACCTATTGTGCATTTTTAACTTCTAACCACTTTTAATTATTTATGAAATTATTTCTGGAATAAGTCGCGATGTCGTACACTTGTTGTTTTAGTAAACATTGCAAACTGCGCCATATGAAATGCACCCGCGATTTATGACATGTTTATTTTTTATTATTTTTCGAAGTTATAGTCGGGTCACATGAAATGCGCACCCGAATTAGGGATCATGTATCATAATTGTGTCACGGGAACCATACCCATAATTACGATAATTATTATTAATCATGCCTAAAGCAAACTACGATGTTTATATTATTTTTTTCTAAGGTTTGAGATTTCTTGTGAAGTCATTAAGGATGATTGTTGTGAGAGAAGGACTATGATTATTAATAATTTTCCAACCGAACGTAATGGTCTAAGAGGTGACAGAGTATGAGAATGACAAGTTCTATAGTTCATATGAGAATGACAAGTTCTATAGTTCATACTTTTACACTATGCATGCATGTCTTAAACTAACGCAACTAACAGACTAATATGACAAATGGGCTTGAATGAAAAAAACCCGATTTCTGACAATTCAAAACCCTTAATATTAACGTTTCAACTTTGGGTAACAACAAATCACATTGGGCCTCAGCAAAGTATGAAGAATTGGCCTTTCTTTTAGGTAAAAATAACACGGTATGGCCAGTTTTCGGAGTGGTCATTTAAAAATAGTCAGTGTTTACGAAGTCAATGAAAAATAGCCACCATTTTGCTGCAATAAAGACCGGTCCAGTATAATATACTGAAGTTCGGTGCACCTGTGTATGAAATCCAGCATATAATGCTGGACCGGTATACTTTGCTGACTCCAGTATTGTATTGGGAAAAAACTAAATTTATTTATTGAAGATGACGTGTCATGACACATGGACTGGTCAAATGGTCAAAACACGGTAATCAACCAAGAAGGCACGGGCGACAACAGATACGGAGAGAAGAAAGTTAAATAAGCACGAGTCGTTATTCAAGAGGCACGAGTTTCGTACCTATATAAGTCATTTAAAACCCCGAAGATCGGAAATGATTGAAGATATGAATCTGATGACGCAAAAGAGTCCAAATTTAGCATTAAATATCAAATACGGTAGAGAATTTGTATTTAATAGGAATGATTGAGTAACGTTTCTTTTAATGTCATTTATTGCTCATAATTGCCTCATTAAGACAAAGGCATTACATCTTCTCCTAGAATCAACTATAAAATGAGAAGGACTCGACATCTGTAGAGAGGAGGATTATTGAGATTTTACTGAAATACAAAGCTATTTACTGCTTTATCATCGTTCTCAAAAATCTTTTATTATTTTCATCTCCTGATTATCAGTAATCCGAATTTCTCTTCGTTTCTAGCTTTGACCAAAGACTCAGATTTTTGGTTAAACAAATTGGTTCNTTCCCCTTCCAATTCCGAAAAAGCTCAAAATGCCTGACATCCCAAAATATGATGGTACTACAGACCCACGTGACCACGTGACTGCAT